GACGATAATGGGTGAAAATGCTCTGCTGAGTTGAGAAAAGCAGCAGAGACAACCTCACTTTGAGTCTTTTGCAAAGGAAGAGAGAACTTGCATTTAAAGTAATTATTAAAATAAATTTGTAAAGGATAGAGGCTAGTTCACCTATACAGATTCTTGAAGAATGAGACGGCCATGCAAACAAAACTAAAAGCAATCTTCCAGGAATGAAATAAAATGTTTATCTGGACATCTTTTTCCAATGCAAGCCCCAAAGGAAAGAACAAGTAAATCTATGCCACCTTAGTGGAAGGAGGCAAGGATGCCAAGAGTCAGGATATCTCCCTGCGGCTCATCAGGTGTTTGAACTAAACATTTGCAAAGGAAGTTTTGACTTTCATTACTAAAAATAAACTCCAGCTTGTACATGAGGCTTATTTTGTAGTCTTCCACAGTGTCTTTTCTGGACTATTTTCTGGGAATTTTATGAGCTAACAGCCTTTAAGGAGATGTTGTCAAACTCTAAGGAAATAAAGGTACAGATCAGAAATCTCAAAGCCTTCTGAAGTGGGACTTCAAGTGGGGCTTATGCTCACTTTCTTTATTAGTGGCAATTGAAAACAAGTCACTTTTTTGCACATCTAACTTAAATTGAAATACAGCTGTCCTATTCTAAAACAAAAATAGCCTCACTCAAGTATCAATTACTACGTATCACATCACTGAAGATAAGGGAGTCCAACCCAGCGTTACTATAGAAGTGGTTTAGGTTTTGTTTGTTTTGCATGCGGACAAGATCAAAAACACCTCTGAAAAAGCTTCCCATATGCACCCTCTGTCCCCTGAAATTAAAAACAATAAATTCAGGAGTCTAGATTCCAGCGTAAGGCACCCTAAATCAGCAAACCAAATTCGCTGTCTCCCCTCATGCACTGCTAGACCGTACCAGCTTCGCTGTGCTGCAGCCCTTCACCTCAAATTAATTTCTTCCAGTGCTTTCAGTGCCGTCTTTTACAGGCTGGCTTGAAAGCGCAACCTTCACTACTCTGCCTCTGTTTACAAGTATGTCTTCAGACCTAAAGAAGAAAATTAAATTAATCTGCACAAGTTACCCTCAGACCTCCTTGAGCGAGTGAGTGAGTTAGCATCCGAGCTAACGCAAGCGGCACATGAAATGCCTGCGTGTGGCGAGCAGGGGCCTGCTGCGAGGTGCTGCCCACAGGGACTCAAAACCAAAATGATTCCCACGCACCCTTTGGGTTGGTTTGGGGTTTTTTACTATTTATAAGATGCTTGAGTTTAAAAAGCCTGTCCTCATTGCTCCTTAGGGCTTGTCTCGGTACCAACACCACTGGCAAAGACCATACTTAGAGGTACTCACCATCTTTGGGAGGAAAACAACCGGGCAACCCCCAAAGTGCCCGTGCTAGCCAGGAGGTGGCAGAGGAGTGAGGCTACCTTGTACGCCGGTTTCTGCGTTACTTTGGCAAAAACACAAATACAAACCAAGGAAAGACAACAAAACCCAGCCCCACCCTCCATCTTCAGGAATAAGAAGATGAAACCCTCAATCACATTCC